ACCTCAACGTCAATCTCCAGAGTGTCTGCCGCAAATGGATCATGAGTCAGGTGAAGGGAAGCTGGAGAGTGCGCCAAAGTTCGACGGGAGCGACTATTGGACTTGGAGCTTCCGATTCGAACAATGGGCAGAGGCACACGATCTATGGGGGTACTTTGATGGTTCGGAGGAGCGGCCTGCATCGGGTGACGCACGGCTGAAGTGGGAGAGAAAAAATCAGAAGGCATTCGCTCAATTCTGCAATGCCTTGGTGCCAGATGAGCTAATTCGCTTGGTACGGGAGTTCGGCGGCAAGACCGAGTTGGGCAGCGCACCTGTTGATGGCGGAGCAAGAGCGGTCACCCGAATTCCTGCAGGCACAGCAGCGGCATACATACGAGTGAAGGAGTTCTACCTTCAGCGTGGATTGTGTAACCGGATGGCACTCTCTGAGGAGCTCTCTTCATTGAAGATGAAAGAGGGGGAGGGGGTGGCTGCATACTGGGCGCGTGCCGAGGACTTGAGGTCCAAGTACTTGGCTGCAGGAGGAAAGGAGGAGGTTGAGGAGTGGATGATGAGGGTACTCAAAGGACTACCTCCTCACTTTGAGATGCTGAAGGTGGTGTTGAACAACCAGTCATCATCGCTCACTAAGGATCAGCTGCTTACCTCCTTGAGGAGCGAGGAGATGCGGATTGGTGTCGCACCAAGATCGGATGGTGTAGCCACATTTGGAGCGGGTACGAAAGTGGGCAGCAGCGGCAGGGGAAATTGGGTCAAGGGAGGAAAGCATGGAGACAGCGGTAGCAGCAGTGACACCAACTCAGGCAGATGGGGTCAAGGGAAAGGCAAAGCGGGAGTGCTTGATTTCCCTTGGGGGTCCAAGGGCATGGCTCCTCGGGGGTTGTGTCATGGCTGTTGGGATGAGGGACATGCATGGCAGCGATGTCCTCATCGACCTAAGGGAGGCATTCCGGCATTCTTAAAGCGGGGGGGTCGTAGGTCCAACGGCAAGGCACAGGTGGCGGATGAGGAGGAGCAGGATGACAAGGCAGAGGCAGTGGTTGGAGAAGCAGTTGCAGCAGTGGGAGAGGAGCAGCCGCGAGAGGGGTGGTGGATTGACAGTGGGGCCAGCCACAACTTTACTCCTTATGCATCGGACTTCAAAAGTAAGCTTCAACCACCAGAGGTTCGGGGAGTTAGATTGGGAGATGGACGGGTGGTGAAAGCTGTTGGCATGGGTGAGGTGCCAGTGGTTGGTGCTGGAGGTCAGCTGCTGAGGATTCAAAAGGTCCACCTTGTGCCTGAGATGCACACGCGTCTGCTGTCAGTCCCACACCTCACCTCTCGAGATGTCATTGTCACATTCAAAGGCAAGAGATGTGTCCTTCAACGGGGGGAGCGGGTGTTGGCGATTGGAGAAAAGGAGAGGGGAAGGGACCATGGATTGGTGCGGATGTTTCTTCCTCTTGCTCAGGGCACACAGGGCAGTGCTCTTGCAGCTAAGTCGTCCTCCTCATTTTCCCCATTGACCCTTGCCCATCGCCGCCTTGGTCATACCGCCCCCACAACATTGCAACAGATGGCTCGGGGGAACAGTGTACTGGGCTTGGAGATTGGGGGGGGGAACACTGATTGTTCCCCATGTGAGCCCTGCTTATTGGGAAAGTCGGCTCGGAAGCCGTTTCCCCATGAGGCGTCTCGGGCACTTGGGCCTTTGGATGAGGTCCACATGGATTTGTGGGGGCCGGTGCGCACACCATCACTGGGAGGAGCGGTGTATGTCCTCAGTCTCATTGACGACTTCACCAGACGAGTTTGGTCGTTCCCCCTCCCCAACAAGGAATCGGCCATAGTTGCAAAAGTCCTTCGCCAGTGGCATAAGGACGTGGAGTTGGAGTGTGGGCGGAAGCTGAAGGCTGTTCGCTCGGACAGGGGTGGCGAGTTCTTGGGGGAAGCTGTAAAAGCATGGAAGGCGGAGTTTGGCATTAAAACTCAATTGAGCGTCGCAGATACACCGCAACAGAATGGGGTTGTGGAGAGGTGGCACAGGACGATGGCAGAGGGGATTCGCACATTGTTGGTCGACAGTGGTCTCCCTGCTCGCTTGTGGGGTGAAGCATTGATGTGGGTCGTGTGGGTTAAGAACAGGGTCACCCACAGTGCTTTGCCTGCCTCCATCACACCAATGGAGGCGTGGTCCGGCCAGAAGCCGCATGTGGGCATGGCTCGGATTTGGGGTTGCATGGGGAGTGTCATGTTGCATGGGCATGAGAAGGGTGGCAAGCTTGATGCACGGGCTGTCATGTGTGTCTGTGTTGGGGTGGACATGGAGAGCAAGGGTTGGCGCATGCTGGACCCTTCTATCATGCGCATTCGCATTGCTCGGGATGTTGATTTCCTTGAGAATGTGATGTGGAAGGATTGGGACAAGGCAAAGGAATTTGGGGAGCTTCTGCAGGATGCAGCTGCAATTTCCCAACTCCTCCCTCTTCCACTCTCGCCACCTTCAGCAACGGCTGACGACGTTGAGATGCCACTTTCACCACTGCCACCGGCACCGCTGAGTGTGTCGGTGCAGCAGCAGCCCACCCCTCTGCAGCAGCTCAGTGGCCCCTCGGTCATTCAGCGGAGATCCGCTACACAGGCTACTTCCTCTTCCTCCTCCTCTGGTCAGCGCTCTATCCCTCTCTCTACGGGTGCCCCTCCGTCACCAGCGACTACCTCCCCACCACCGGTTACGGGTTTGCAGGTGCTTGGTATCCAGTCTGGTACAGGTGGTGAGGAGGTAGGGGGGGATGCTGGTGTGGTTGAGGGCATGCTATGTTTGGCCAGGGAGGTGGAAGGTGTTGCACTGGCAGGTGTGAGCACAGATGATGTCCCACGCACACTCGCTGAGGCCCTGCGTGGCCCTGAGGGCCCTGCGTGGAAGGCAGGCGCTGAGAAGGAGGCAAATGCAATGCGCACTATGGGTGTATGGGATCCAGAGCCGGTTGACTTACCTCCAGGTAAGAAGGCCATTGGGGTCCGGTACGTTTTCCGCAGGAAAACTGACAAGGAGGATAAGGTGGTACAGCACAAGGTTCGCCTTGTTGCTAAGGGGTACACTCAGGAGCCTGAGAAGGACTATGATCAGGTATTTGCCCCTGTGGGCAAGCTGACCTCAGGTCGGGTGCTTCTTGCAGAAGCCGCGGTAAAAGGGTGGCATGTACAACAGCAGGATGTTGATCATGCTTACCTCAATGCACTCCTTCAAGAGGAAGTGTATGTGAGGCAACCTGAGGGATTTGATGATGGTACAGGTAGGGTGCATCGCTTGCGCAAAGCTCTCTATGGGCTCAAGCAAGCGCCTCGTGCTTGGAATGAGGAGATTGGTACCACCTTGATTGCAGCAGGGTTTGACCGCAGTGCATGTGATGAGGCTTTGTACATCAGGTTTGTGGATGAAGAGCCAGTGTATGTATTGGTGTATGTGGATGACCTCTTGCTTGTGTCTCCACGCTTGGAGCTGATCGGTCAGGTCAAGGAGGTGCTTGCTCAGAGGTACCAGATGAAGGATCTAGGTGAGGTATCCATGTACCTTGGTGTGGAGGTTCGCAGGTCGGTCAAGGATGGGTGGTTGGAGATTGGTCAGGAGAAGTATGTCCGTGGTCTCCAGGGAAGGTTTGGTGATCTGCTGAAGGAGACCCATAGGGTGCATACTCCAATGTCACCCAATGATCTCTCTAAGATCAGGAATGGTACTTGGTCAACTGAGGAAGGTGTTGCAGCTGATGTCAAGGTATACCAGAGTCTCATTGGCAGCTTGATGTATGCTGCTGTGACCACCCGTCCTGACATGTCTTTCACTGTCAACACCCTTGCACAGTCCTGCGTGGCACCAAGACGCATTCACATGCGCGCTGCACTGAGAGCACTCAGGTACTTGGTCGACACAGCTGATCGTGTCATCAGGTATGAGCGCCAAGGTGGTGAGCAGGTTGTCGGGTACACAGACTCGGATTGGGGTGGTGAGACTGATGGCAAGAGTCGCTCTGCCTACATCTTTAAGCTGGGAGGAGGAGCAATCAGCTGGTATAGCAAAAAGCAAGACAGTGTTGCAGCAAGCGTTTCTGAAGCTGAGTACAAAGCTCTATCGGAGGGGGCCAAGGAGGCCATTTGGTTGAGGAGTCTGTTGGCAGAGATGCATGTGGGGGATGGGGGGGCTATTCCATTGCTCTGTGATAATGAGGCAGCTGTCTCCCTTGCCCACAATCCCATTCTCCATCAGCGCACCAAGCACATTAAGGTGGCATGGCACTTTGTACGGGATGCGGTGCGCCAGCAGGAGGTCGAGGTGCACTCAGTACGCTCCCACCTCCAGGATGCCGACATGCTCACCAAAGCTCTTCCAAGCTTGCAGCTGCATGAGAACCTGGAGCGCATCGGCATGCGAGTGATTGCTGCGAAGGCCAATGCTTCATTCGCTGGAGGGGTTGTATTTTGATTTATGGGTGAACTTTAATGCTTATTGGAGCAAGGGGGGGTGTTGGAATTAAGGTTAATTCGGGTTGCTCCAATAAACATATGTAGTGGTACATCTACACTATGGTAGTGTAGAATACATTGGTTGGGTTGGGAGAACTTGTGGTGTACACTCTTTAGAGTGGACCACCTCCCAAACCCTATAGGTTAGGGTTCTCTCTTGTTGGTATTTCACTTTTGGAAACCACTTTGGTTCTAGCATGGTTCATGCCCAAGTGGGCTCCTATGATTCCTAGGCTTTAGGAGGAGGTTCTAAGACTACTAAAGCTTCCGCTAGTATCTTAGTCCATTCTAATACTTTCAAGCAGGCCCAACCCAACAGTCACCTTTCACCTGAACAGGCTCATTGCTTCACGGTCGCCAAGCACAGAGCAGCAGAGGCCCGTTCCTACATACGGTTCAAGAGAGCATCCAGGCGCTCATCCCAGGGCTCCATAACCATGCTCCTTTGGAGGTTCACTCAACTCAGCTATCTGTCACCAGTTACCAAGGCAGACTCATTGCTTCACAGTGGCCAAGCACAGAGCAGCAGACGCCCGTTCCTGCATGCGGTTCAAGAGAGCATCCAGGCGCTCGTCCCAGGGATCCATACCCGTGCTCCTCCACTGCTGCCGCTTCCACCGCCACTCCATCATGCTGCCGCAGGGATTGAAGGAAGACCAAGGGAGAACGAAGCGGTGCAATGCGGTACAAGAGTCAAAGCAAGCAACAACCCCACGAGAGCTTGCGACATCAACATCCTCTATCCATGCAATGAATTGAGACACATGGGCAGAGGTAACCGGATCGCGGCCTTCACAGCTGGCTTGCATTCGAAGCAGCACTCATCTTTTTGACAGCCGGTGCGTCTCCCACCCACCCACCCACCACTCACCTCACCGACTGACAGCTGGCGTGTCACCGCACCCACCACTCATCGTCTGACAGCTGGCGTGCTGCCGCACCCACCCCTCACCGTCTGACAGCTGGCGTGTCACCGCACCCACTACTTACCGTCTGACAGCTGGCGTATCGCCGCACCCACCACTTACCATCTGACAGCTGGCGTGTCGCCGCACCCACCACTTACCGTCTGACAGCTGGCGTGTCGCCGCACCCGGTCAAGACAAGCAGCAGCGTGTTGGGCGGCAGGGACTCGTGCACCTGCCCCACCTGCGCATCCACCTTCCTGGAAGATTCCTCCACAGCACAGTCAGCTGGATGAGTAGGTGCCAAAGATAGCTGATTCTGCTCCTTCTCTTCCTTTTGCTGCTGCTGCTGCTGCTGGTCCATTTGCTGCTGCTGTGCCTGTCTCTGCTCCTTTGCAGTCTCTAGTTGTGGCGGTGATGCAGGTTTGGGGGCAAGCTCAGGTGTAGGTTTGGACGCAGGGCTGGTGGCAAGCGTAGAAGCAGGTTCGGAGGAGGCAGGTTCGGAAGCCAGGGCAGCGGCGAGTCGAGGCATGGAGGCGAGGGAGGAGCAGCGGGCAGAGAGGGAGGCCATGAGGGAGGGGAAGGTGGCTGCTAGGAGGTTGAGAGATGGCTTGCACACCTGTGCACGGAGGGAGCAAGGGGAAGACAGGGGGGAAAGAGAGGGAGAAAAGGGGGAGAGAGGGGGAGAGAGGGCTGAGAGAGAGGGAGAGATGGGAGAAGACGGAACTACGGAAGAGAGAAAGGGGGGGGGGAAGCGAGACGGAGAGGTGGGGGGAGAGGCGGGATGATGGTGGCATAGCTGGAAAGGAAGGAGGAGCAGCGAAGCAACAATGGGAGCAGAAATGCACTTTGCGGTGGCTCCCTAAAGTGCATTCTCGCAAGCAGAAATGCACTTGAAATGAACGAGGCGTCAGTGCACTTCTCGCCGCTCTCGTTCCATTCCATACCTCTCTGCTCACAACCTTGCCCAAGTCCCCGTGCTTGAGGCACAGAATCTCTGACGTGCCATTCCAGTTGCCGCCCAGAAAGAGGTCCGGCCTGGCAGCTTGCATGTGCAGCACGACGGTGCAGTGCCGCCCGGAGGCAGAGAGACGGGTGAGAATGTTCTCTGTGTGGTGCTGCTTGGACGCCCTCCGAGGTAAACCGAAATGGGGACCTGAGGAAGGGGCATGGGTGGTGGTGTGAAGGAGGGGATAAGGGGGGTTTGTGAAGGAAGGAGGTGATTGAGTTGAGAAGATGGCTTGAGTTGAGGGGATGAGGGGCAGCTTGCATGTGCAGCACGATGGTGCAGTGCCGCCCGGACGAGGAGAGGCGTGTGAGAATGGTCTCCATGTGGTGCTGCTTGGAGGCCCTCCGAGGCAACCCGAAGTGGGGACCTGGGGGAGGGGCATGAGGTGGGGACGTGAGGAAAGGGTGTGAGGGTGATAAATTAGGAGGAGGAAGAGAGGCGCGTGAGAATGGTCTCCATGTGGTGCAGCTTGGAGGACCTCCCAGGGCAGGCCGAAGTGCGGGCCTGAGGGAGGCGTGTGAGGGGTGGTGGGAGAGGAAAGGAGCTTGCAGGTGCAGCACGACGGTGCAGCGCTGTCCGGAGGCAGAGAGGCGTGTGAGAATGTTCTCCATGTGGTGGAGCTTGGACGCCCTTCAAGGCAGCCCGAAGTGGGGACCTGAGGAAGAGGCAAAAGGTGGGGTGAGTGGTGTGAGATGAAAGAGAAAGCCAAGGGACAGGAGGATAGAGATTGGAAAGGAGGGAGGGAGTGAGGAGATTGGGTGGGAGGTGGGTGGGGGGTGGGTGGGAAGGTGGGACGTTAAATAGATTGTGGCAGTGAAATAGGGTGTGGGCAAAATCTTTGCCTCAGTCTCTCTCCTTACATGTAAACCTCACAATCCCCACAAGCATGTGTGGACCACCATATTACCATGTTACAGGTGTTAGGACGAGACCTTACCGTGATACAGTCAGCGATGTTATGGTGTTATCATGGTAACCTAGTGCAACACTACAGTGTTACAATGTTACCCTAGTACCGCATTACTGCATTACCATGCTACCGTGTTACTCAAATACCATGTTACATTAGCACACCACATTACTACGTTACCATGTTACCACGTTACCATGTTGTATCTTGAGCAGAGCGAGGTCAAGGGCAGCCCGTGCGTCCTCCACACTGTCATGCCCTGCACTGTCTGATGCCACTGTTCCCTGCTGCTGCCCTACAGCTTCCTCTCTCGATGATGCCCCCTCGTTTGCTGTTGCTGCTCCTCCTGCTGCTGCTGCTGCTGTTCCTCCTCCTCCTGCTCCTGCTACTTCTGCTGCTTCACCTCCTGTGCTCCCACGCACAGCCTCATGCTGCCCGCCGTTTGCTGCCGCCTCTCCCTCACCACCCACACCTCCTGCTGCGGTAGCGGGCGGTGCTGCTGCCACTGAATTTTGATCATTACGACACCACGTGTTACTCCTGCGGTAACCCCTTGCAGCACCAGCAGCACCATCACCAACACCACCTGCCACCGCCGAAGCTGCCACTGTCGCTGCAGCAGCAGCAGCAGAAGCGGCACCATCAGCACCACCACTAGCAGCACCACCCCTCCCCCTGTGAAACGACCATCCTCCTCTCAACCCCCCTCTCATCCCCCCTCTCCTTCCCCTCCCTGCTCGCCCTTCCCCACCCTGTCCCCCCCACCAGCCAGCCTGTATGGTCCTCCCAAGGTAATCCACTGCCAGGAAGCGCAGAGCGCACTTGAAGGGCGGCCCGCGGGGGTGGGGGAAGAGCAGTGACGTGTCGATCACGCGCAGATGGACGGCCCGGATCGCGTGCAGATCGCTCTCTGTGGAATGGCCGACCAGGATGGTCTCTGCGCTGACTATGCCGAGAAAATGCTCCTGATGGGGGTGAAGAGAGCGTTGGGAAAGTGGGAGTGGGGATGGCGGGAGTGGAGAAGAGGAGGGTGGGAAGGAGGGGGAGTGGGGAAGGGGGGAGTGAGAAGGGGGGCAGTGGGGAAGGGGGGAGTGGGAAGAGGGGGTACAGGGAGGTGGGGGATTAGGGAAGGGGGATAGGGAAGGGTGGGGAGAGGGAGAGAGCAGTGAAGAGAGAGTGAAGAGTGAGCAGTGCACTGGAAGTGAGGACGGGTTGGAAGCGGGCTGGAAATGAAGGGTCGGAACGAGGGTAGATGTAGAGGGCAGCCCACCCGCCCCTCTCACCTGCTCCTCTCACCCGCCCCTCTCACCTGCTCCTCTCACCCGCCCCTCTCACCTGCTCCTCTCACCCGCCCCTCTCACCCGCCCCCCTCACCCGCCCCCCTCACTCGCCCCCTCAAACCCCCTCCCCTCACCCGACGCCCTCACCTGCCCCGCTCACCCACCCCTCTCACCCACCCCTCTCACCCGCCCCTCTCACCCGCCCCTCTCTCTTGCCCCACTTACCTGTGCCTGCTGCAGAGTGGTTGTCACTCCGGCCAGCATCTGTGGCGTTATGCCGGAGAACCTGACACACGGGAGGGAGGGACAGGTGGAGGGAGGGAGGGAGGGAGGGAGGGAGGGAGGGAGGGAGGGAGGGAGGGAGGGAGGGAGGGAGGGACAGGTGGAGGGAGGGAGGGAGGGAGGGAGGGAGGGAGGGAGGGAGGGAGGGAGGGAGGGAGGAAGGGAGGGAGGGAGGGAGGGAGGGAGGGAGGGAGGAAGTGAGGGAGGGAGGGAGGGAGGGAGGGAGGGAGGGAGGAGTGAGTTCAGGTCTCTATGGTTCTCCCTAAAAGGCTGCTAAGCAACATTGGTTTATGGTTTAAAGGAGTGGCACACCACAACTGAAACTACGAAACAAAGAAAAGGAGAAAAGACATCTTCGACAACGCACCAACAGGGGGCAAGAGGGTGAGGTGGGTGGGAGGGGTGGGGGTGGAGAAGGGTGCGGGCGGGGCAAGGGCAAAAGAATCAACTGTGGCGTGGAGTGGGTCCGCTAAAGCAATCAAATGATGCACTGTGGCGTGGAGTGGGTCCGCTTTTGAGTCGACTCATAAGAAAAGCAAATGATGCACTGTGGCGTGGAGTGCTACAATGTGGTGAGTGGGTGAGTCCTACAATGCACATGCTTGGTGCTGTTATGAGACGTGTTTTGAGACGTCTCAAAACACTTCTTCATACACTTGGTGCTTTTATTAGACGAGCTGGTGAAACCTGAAAGCATTGACGGGGAGAGGAGGGGCGGCATTGGTTGGTTGGTGGGGTGGTGGGGCTGGTTGCTTGCTGGTGGGGCTGGTTGCTAGCTGGTGACTCACTGCGTATTGTAGTTGGTGATGGGACTGTCAGGCTTCACCAGCTCGTCTAGCAGCACCTGGTATATGCAGGGCATGGGATGAGAGGAGGGCGTAGGTGGGTGGCTGGGTGGGTGGCTGGGTGGGTGGGTGGGGTGAGTGGGGCCCGCGCACTGCGTGTTGTAGTTGGTGATGGGGCTGTCAGGCTTCACCAGCTCGTCTAGCAGCACCTGGCGTGCATAGATGGTAGGGGAAGAGGGAAGGGGAAGAGGGAAGGGGAAGAGGGAAGGGGAAGAGGGAAGGGGAAGAGGGAAGGGGAAGAGGGAAGGGGAAGAGGGAAGGGGAAGAGGGAAGGGGAAGAGGGAAGGGGAAGGGAAGAGGGAAGGGGAAGAGGGAAGGGGAAGAGGGAAGGGGAAGAGGGAAGGGGAAGAGGGAAGGGGAAGAGGGAAGGGGAAGAGGGAAGGGGAAGAGGGAAGGGGAAGAGGGAAGGGGAAGAGGGAAGGGGAAGAGGGAAGGGGAAGAGGGAAGGGGAAGAGGAAAGGGGAAGAGGGAAGGGGAAGAGGGAAGGGGAAGAGTGGCGTAGCACCTGGTGTGCATATCAAGGAATACTCAGGGAGGGCACGGGGCAAGGGGAGGGCACGTGTCAAGGGGAGGGCACGTGTCAAGGGGAGGGCACGTGTCAAGGGGAGGGCACGTGTCAAGGGGAGGGCACGTGTCAAGGGGAGGGCACGTGGCAAGGGGAGGGCAAGTGGCAAGGGGAGGGCACGTGTCAAGGGGAGGGCACGTGTCAAGGGGAGGGCACGTGGCAAGGGGAGGGCACGTGTCAAGGGGAGGGCACGTGGCAAGGGGAGGGCACGTGTCAAGGGGAGGGCACGTGTCAAGAGGAGGGCAAGCGGAAAGTCAGGCTGAATTGTTCCAACCTGCCCTCACCTCTTTCAACCTGTCCTCACCTCAGCAAACCTGCCCTCACCTGGTCAAACCTATCCTCACCTGGTCGTACCTTGCCGTGGGCATCCAGCAGCGTGAGGCGGGTGAGTTCCAGACCCTTGCGGGTGTTGCACTGGCGGGGGACCGAACAAAGGGAGGAGAGCAGAAAGGAAGGGTGAGAATAAGAAAGAGCACATGGGGGAGGGAGGGTGAAGAAGAATAAGAAGAAAAAACGAAATTGGGGCAGAAACGAACAAAAGGGCAGATGCGGAAGGATGAAATTCGATGTGGGGGAGTGAAGGGAAAAAAGAGCAGATCGGGAAGGGTGGAAACATAGAACGTACCACATATGTAATACATGTGCTAGACATTTGCAACACCACTCCCAACCCCGTCTGCATGGCCCCCCCTCTGACTGACCCCCCCTCTGACTGACCCCCCCTCTGACTGACCCCCCCTCTGACTGACCCCCCCTCTGACTGACCCCCCCTCTGACTGACCCCCCCTCTGACTGACCCCCCCTCTGACTGACCCCCCCTCTGACTGACCCCCCCTCTGACTGACCCCCCCTCTGACTGACCCCCACTTCCTTCTTTCCCCACCCCACCCATGTCTGCATCCCTCCGTGCATGGCACTCACCATCTCACAGTCAACAGCCACCAACCGATGGTCCTCCCTCGTTTTGAGACGTCTCAAACGATGGTACCCCCTCTGCTGCTCCTTGCCCCCTCTCACCTCTCTTCTGCCTGCCTTTCCCCCTCTTCCCCCTGCATCCCTCCCTGCATCGCACTCACCATTTCACAGTCAACAGCCACCAGTCGATGGTACTCCCTGCGCTGCTCCTTGCCTGCTCCCGCTGCTTGCTTCCCTCTCTTCTTCCCCCCGCCCCATGGTCGAGTCATCACATACCCTGCATGCAGCATGCAGCGTACAACACAGATTCTGCATGGGTCAGCGCACACCTCAGTAGCCATGCGCGAGATATAAGTGTTTTGAGACGTCTCAAAACAACACTTTTATCAATTCTGCATGGGTCAACGCACACCTCAGTAGCCATGCGCGAGATATAAGTGTTTTGAGACGTCTCAAAACAACACTTTTATCAATTCTGCATGGGTCAGTGCACACCTCAGTAGCCATGCGCGAGATATAAGTGTTTTGAGACGTCTCAAAACAACACTTTGATCAATTCTGCATGGGTCAGCGCACACCTCAGTAGCCATGCGCAAGATATAAGTGTTTTGAGACGTCTCAAAACAACACTTTCATCAATTCTGCATGGGTCAGCGCACACCTCAGTAGCCATGCGCAAGATATAAGTGTTTTGGACGTCTCAAAACAACACTTTTATCAATTCTGCATGGGTCAGCACACACCTCAGTAGCCATGCGCGAGATATAAATGTTTTGAGACGTCTCAAAACAACACTTTTATCAATTCTGCATGGGTCAGCGCACACCTCAGAAGCCATGCGCAAGATATAAGTGTTTTGAGACGTCTCAAAACAACACTTTTATCAATTCTGCATGGTTCAGCGCACACCTCAGTAGCCATGCACGAGTGGCAGGGCCCACGGCCCCCCATGGTCAAGTCGAGTCATCACATACCCTGCATGCATGCATGCAGCACGCAGCTCAGCACAAATACAGCTCAAGTCCTGTGTCTGCGATACAGGGGGCATGAGCCCTGCACACAACAGTTGTACCATGCTCAGTGTCTTCCGCAAGGCCTGTGATAAATGAGTGCTTTTGAGACGTCTGTAGAACACTCATCTATCCCAGGGGACACGACCGCGGCACAGCATGTGTGTCATGCCAAGTGTCCTCCTCTTCAAGGCCTCTGCAGCCAGCTCATGTGTGGACGTGTCGTAAGGAGATGATTCGAGGCAGCTCAGAGATTACACGCGGCTGAGTCAGCTCTGTTTCGACTCAAAAGACGACTAATAAAAAAAAGGACGCTGCCGACTCAAAACACGACTCATTTCACGCAAACATACATGAGGCCGACTCAAAGTTAAACAATTTGCCCTGGAAAGTGTGGAATGTGACGTGGAATCAATGGAACATGACCTGGAGTGCTTGTAATCTGACCTGGAAAGCGAGGAACGTGACGTGGAACCATTCGAATCTGACATGGATTTACTGTCACCTGACAACCTGACCGGACCTGAGACGTGACCTGGAAAGGTTACAATCTGACCTGGAAAGATTGCAATCTGACCTGGAGGAGGAACAGCCGAGCCATCAGCAAGTGAGATGCTGCCACCTGCTTTCCGGGCAGCCTCTTTCCCATCCTGCCCGTCTCGCCCCTTGTTGCCCGCCACCACGGGCAGCGGAAAATTGTTTTCTTTCAGCTGGCGCCACGTCAGCAGGTAGTGCTCGGGAGGGAGAGGGGGCTTGGACTTGAAAGGGAGTGAGGAGGACGGGGAAGAGGGAGAGGAGGGAGAGGAGGAAAGTGGTGGCGCCGGTGTGTCTGTGGTGCTCCTTGCAACAACACACACTCCCCTCTCTCCCTCCTGGTTTGTCTTCATGGCCTTGCTGCTTCTCCCTTCCCCTTCCTCTTCTTCCTCCCCTCCCCCATCGCCCAGTACCTCTGCCTTCCTCTTTTTACCACCCTTTTTTTTGTCTCTCCCCTCTTCGCCCTCCTCCCTCCCCACCTCCCCTTCTCCCTTTCCTTCCCCTCCTTCCTCCTCACTTTCAGAGTCAAATACCTCTCCCTCCTCCTCTTCCTCCTCCCCTTCCTCCTTGTCCTCCTCATCCTCATCCCCCTTATCGTTCTTATTCGTCTGCTTCTCTTCACCCCCCCGCAAACCCCTACTCGTCCCCTCCTTGACTTCACAGCTCACACCGTTTGTCACACCTGCTCCTGCCCTGCTGTCCGCATGTGCTGACGTGGCAGCTGCTGATTTGGCAGGCGACGAGCTGGTGCTTTTCTAGGGGCGGCAAAGTGGTGAAGGGCGGGCGGCAGAGAGGCAAATAATGGCCGGCAGGGAAGCGAATATTGGCCGGCAAACAATAATGGTCGGTAAAGTGGTCAAGAATTCGACAAACGGGTGGCAAAGAGTTAAATAATGGGCGACAGATGGCAAGAACATAGGTTGAGGGCGGTCCCATCCCATGTGGTGTGACGAATTCACGTCAGATTACATGCGCTCTCTCCTTGCTCTTTCACGTCAGATTACATGCGCTCTCTCCTTGTTCTTAGACAGCACAACGAAAAAAACGCCGACACATGCTTTTGACTGGGGCATGACCACCCCCCTGCCATGACCACCCCCCTGCCATGACCACCCCCCTGCCATGACCACCCCCCCTGCCACGACCCACGACCAATCACCGTGTGGTGAAAAGAGTACCTTGAGAGCAACGGGTCGTGCAAACATGGCCTTCATGGTGTCTGATACCGTTGCTGCTGGGCTGATGGGGGGTTGGTGAGGGGGTGGTGCGCGGAGGGAAAGGCAGATGGGAAGGCAAGGCACTGCTATTGACGCTTCAAGAAGCAGCAATGGGTCGTGCAAACATGGCCTTCTTTGTGTCTGACACCGTTGCTGCTGGGGTGATGGGCGGGTGGTGGTGGGAGGGTGGGAGGGGAAGACAGTGGGAAGGCACTGCTAGTGGCGTTTCAAGAAACAAGCAACGGGTGGTGAGAGCATGGCACTTGCTGTATTGGACATTGTGCGGAATGGGGGGGTGTGTGGGGGAGGGAAGACTGATGGGAAGGCACTGCTAGTGTTTCACGAAACAACATTGTGCTGACTGGATGGGGGGATGGGGGGATGAAGGGATGGGCGGATGGGGGAATGGGGGCTGTTAGGGGAGCAATTAGATCACGAGATAAGGATGTGGGACGGAATGTGGGGATGGGGGAGGAAGAGAGGCAGAAAGAGCACGAGATCAGGATCTCATGATCAAGTAACACGAGTGAGGGGAAGAGTGAAACGGAGGGAAGGAAAATAGGGAAGGGCTTGAGGGGAGGAAGAGTGAGATGAGAATGAGGACACGCTTCCTCACCTCACAGCCTTCAACGGCAGAGATTTGCCGCCGAAGCAGCGGTGCAGGTTCGGGAAGAGTTCTGGGTGGGAGTGGAAGGTATGGGCATCGATTCCTGGCACCAGCAGCACCACCACCCTTGATACCAGCGGCTTGTTCTGCCAGGGCGGGTGAGGAGGGAGGGGGAGAAAGGGGGAAAATGGGGGAAAGGGGGGAAATGGGGGAATGGGAGAAAGCGGGGAAAGGGGAGAGGCGGAAATGAGGGAAAAGGAGGGGAAAGAAATATTTTCCTGCACCAGCAGCACCACCACCCTTGATACCAGCGGCTTGTATCAGAGCTGGTGAAGAGGGAGGGGGGAACAGGGGGGAGGGGGAGGGGAGAGAAGAGATGATGAAGGGAAATGTATAACACTTCTGTAGAAGCCCTTGTTTCGTACTTCAATGCGAGGACTCAAGATTGGAATGTTTGGTAGTGCTACTCTGGAATTGCAAGTGAGTGCATGCAGCCATGTGTGTGCAAGACCAGATGTGAATGCTTAGGCAGAAGTACAGCGGAACACGGTTAAAAAAAAAGGGGGGAAAAAACCTTGAATTGAGAAATGCATGTAGGAATACATGCTGCCACCCACCTTGATGAATACCCACTGCGGGTTGACCTCCCCTGTGAGCACCCAGAGAATCAAATCCTGCACATCCTGCCAAGCCAGGCGAGGCAGAGTGGCAGGGGAATAGTCAGGTTGGAGACGGCATGGCATGCAAGTGAGCGTGCTGAGGACATCTCACTCACTCACGAGCTATGTGCCTCTCATCTCATCTCATCTCATCCCCGAATCCCTTGCCTCTGAAACCCAAACCCCTCAGTCCCCAAACTCCTCAACCCCAAACCCCTCAACCCCAGAGTCACTTACAGTGAAGCTGAGAGGCTTGGCGCGCTGCTCTGCGCCCTTAGACACAGGCGGGCGCAGCTCCAGCTCTGCACGCGCCTGAGGGGGAAGGGGAGGAGAGGAGGGGGTGGGAGAGGAAAGAGGGGGGAGCACGGGGGGAAGGGGGAGAAGGGGCGGGGAGTGATTGGGGGAAAGGGAAAGGGGGAAATGGGCGAGGGAAAGGAGACGGTTGGCATGCGCTTTGGCAGACGGAATGGAACCCAGCGCCAGCGGGAGAGGTCGGTCAGTGGGGGAGATTCAGGGGGCGGGAGGGCTTGAGGAAAGTCGATTTTTTAGTGGACTCAAAAGTTGACTTATCACACGCAGATTCAGGGCGCGGGAGGGTTTTTGAGGCGTCACAAAAGGAATATGCCTAACTGCACCCATACATGCGGTGCGGGCCTCTGCTAACCCAACCCCTCCCCCCTCACTCACCGGCCTGCGCACGGGACATTCACATCTTAGTAGCAGCGCTTGGCTTGGCTGCCGCCCTTGTTGGAGTGTACCCCCTCCTCACCCCGCCCATACACCTGCGGCCCCCCAATACCCTCCTCCCCCCACCATTTCGTTCTGCTCTGCGGGCCTCAACACCTCCTCCCCTCCACCCCCTGTCCCTCCCCCCCACTCTCTCTTCCCCCGCCCCCCCGCCCCCTCCTCCCCCCCCCCACCGCGCGCCTACCTGCGCGCCGTACACGTCGTAGTAGTGCTTCGCGTCGCCCTTGCCCGCCGCCACCACCTTCTTGATCTTCTTCGCCATCCGACGGCCCACGCGCGCCCTCAGCTCGTCCGCTGCGCCGATCCCCCCTCCCGCCGCCTCCGCCCCCTTCTCCGCGGCCCTCTCCGCCTTCTCCGCCCGCTCGCCACCCTCCGCATCCCTCTCCGCCATCCCGCCCTTCTCTGAGTTTCTTTCCGCGGCACCCGAGGCAATGCCCGCCGGAATGCTCGCCGTATCCACGACCTCCGCGTCGCCCGCCCTTGGACCGCGCTTCGACTGGTCCATGGTGGGATTCTATTAGCGCGTTGCTTAATTACGTTCAAATTGGGCCGTTCCAAAATGAACGCAAAAGTGAAAGCGACCACCACTCGTGGTGGTGTCGTTGACTGGAGGGACGGTACGCACGATGGCGGGAGACGTAACGCAAGACGCGAGACGCGGAGATGCGAGACGCGTCGGGGATTCGGTGGTGCTTACAACTTCCCCTGCATAACTTCTTGCGGACTGACTGACAGATTCTCTTCGTGGAACAAGTATGTGCGCATACGCGTTACTGAATTGGTGTTACACATTATCCTCCACCCTAACCAAATTTGCTCACTGTTCAAGCTAACGTAGAAATATACATGCATACGAATTTATTCCAGACACCGTATCAAGCCCTTTGTCTAAATTAAAATCTCACTGTTCTATAACAAGAGAGATTCACCCCTTACTACCATAAGGCTGCAATCTGTAAAAAAAAACTTGAATTCTCACATCCATTTTGTCAACCAAAGCAGGTAAAGAGGGTTGATTCATGACTGGTTGTTTGATCCTGTGGTATGAAATGGACAAAGGTCACTGGTTGCACCAGACAGACACACCGCTCCCGAGTCAAAGCCACGCCACTTCTTCATCCTGCGTTCACGCTCACCAGGGAAAATTCACGCCGCCGTCATCATTCGACACAGCTGCTGGTAGTGGTTCTTCCCAATGAGGATGCACACTGCACTGCGATCGTTCACATCACGTTCATATAACATCACGCTCGCCAGGGGAAATTCACGTCTCCTTCGTCATCTGACACGGCTGCTGGTAGCGGCTCCTCCCTCAGCCTCCCCCCCATCTGCATCCGCCACGACCGATCCACTAACGGGGCCAACTCCCTGCGGAGAAACGAAGGGCAAATGTGACAATATTGAATTGTAAACACGAGCTGACAACAGGGAGGGCGTGAGTTCCTACTAAAGGAGTCACATGAGGGAGATGGTGAATCTGGGGAATGGCAATATCTTCGTTTATAAAAAGCACATGAAACCCTGAAGCATCACATGAAATACCCACTCAATTCATGAAGACCCTAAGGATTCACCCGAGGTCGTGGCTGACAACAAGAATCACCTGAGGTCATGGCTGACAACAAGAATCACCTGAGGTCGTGGCTGACAACAAGAATCACCTGAGGTCGTGGCTGACAACAAGAATCACCTGATGTCGTGTCTGACAACAAGAATCACCTGAGGTCGTGGCTGACAACAAGAATCACCTGAGGTCGTGGCTGACAACAAGGATGGAGCGTTCCCTCTTGAGTGCCGCCAGCAGCCTCACCACGTCCGTCCTCGCCCTCCAGTCTGGGGGGGAGAGAGAGGGGATCAAAGGGCGCAATGGAGGCAGGGAAAAAAAAGCAAGACAGAAGAGAATAACAAACAATGGTGCCGAATGACCTGTATGCAGAGCCTTCAGCTGTATGCAGAGCCTTCAGCTGTTTCGATCCAGCCATTTCGTTTCAAATGAAGAGACAAGCCCGTAGCGCGTAGCAGCTAGCGCACTATTGAGGCATTTCATGGTTTTAAAGCAGTCAGGCGGGCACTTGAGGGCCATCTATCATCAATCATCAATTATCAGTCATTACACGTACCGAGCCCAGCAAGAGGTTCATCCAGCAGCAGCAGCTCCGGCATCCGAACCTGAGGAACAGGTGCGGGCAGTTGGTTGGAATGTCGTGCGGCAAGGGTAGGGACTAAGGAAGCAGTCGGTGATTGAAGCATGGCATCGTGACGTGGATTGAGCTGGTTCTTTAAACAACTTAGAACCAAGCATGGCATCGTGAACTGAGCTCGGTGCTGCTGCTGTGCTGGCTTCGTGTCTTTGAGACACAGAACCCAGACATGGAACCACGAGGGCAGCACGAGGGCAGCACGAGGGCAGCACGAGGGCAGCACGAGGCGCCTGCCTTCAACATTAATTACTCAGGTGTGGGGAGAAACGGAGAGGAGAGGAGGGTGTACTGACGAGTTGGATAGCGAGGGCAAGTCGGCGCTGGTTGCCCCCACTGAGCGCACGCGGGTTGGTGTCTAGGGTCACTCCCATTAGCCCCACCTGTGTTGATGTGGGTGGAGGGAGGAGGGAAGGGGGGTGAGTGGGGGAGAGGAGGACGTTGAGGGAGGGACGAACTGAGAGCACGCAGGTTGGTGTCCAGCGCCACTCCCATTAGCCCCACCTGCAGGTGCGTGGGGTGTGAGGGGGGGGGGGGAAGGGGGGATAAGTGGGAGCAAGGCGGTGCTGGTTGCCCCCACTGAGCGCACGCGGGTTGGTGTCCAGAGCCACTCCCATTAGCCCCACCTGTGTGTTGGGAAGTGGGGGGGAGAGGGGGAGTGGGCGGTTGAGGGACGTGGAAAGGAGGGTGAGTGTGGGAGAGGAGGATGCAGAGGGAGGGACTAGCTGAGAGCATGCGGGTTGGTGTCCAGAGCCACGCCCATTAGCCCCACCTGTGTGTGGGGGGTTAGTGAGCGTGGGAGAGGAGGAGGTAGAACGTGGGACGAGATGAAACCATGTGGGTTGCTGCCGCCTGCACACGTGCAGCGAGCGAGCGCCTGCCAGAGTGGAGTGTGTCCAAACTCATAATGGAATAGCTGCAAACCTGAAGAAACGCTTAAGCAAATTGGAGCGAGAGAGCGCCTGCTGGAGTGGAATGTCCCCCACTCCATTCGTGACACTGCAGTGCACCCACTCCACTCAACCCCTCACCACCACTCCACTCAACCCCTCACCACCACTCCACTCAACCCCTCACCACCACTCCACTCTACCCTTCACAGCAATGAGTGCGGCCTGCATGCGCGCAGCCAGCACCTGTCAGAGGGGAATGTCCTCCACTCATGACACTACAGTGCACCGCCTGCTTATCAGCCCACCGCACTCCACCTCACTGCACCTCAGTCTACCCCACAACTCCTCACCGCAATGACAGCAGCCTGCACGCGGGCAGCCAGCGCCTGCCGGAGTGGAATGTCCTCCACCTGTGACATCATGCTTACCCAGCCAACCGCACCTCACTCCACCCCACCTCCACCCCACCACACTCCACCCCACCTCACTCCTCCCCACCTCACTCCTCCCCACCTCACTCCTCCCCACCTCACTCCTCCCTACCTCACTCCTCCCCACCTCACTCCTCCCCACCTCACTCCTCCCCACCTCACTCCTCCCCCTCACCGCAATGAGCACCGCCTGCACGCGGGCAGCCAGGGCCTTTCGGAGTGGAATGTCCTCCACTCGTGGCTCTGCAGTGCACCGCCTGCTTATCAGCCCACCGCACTCCACCTCACTGCACCTCAGTCTACCCCACAACTCCTCACCGCAATGAGCGCCGCCTGCACGCGGGCAGCCAACGCCAGGGGTAGAGGAATGTCCTCGACCCATGACATTGAAGTGCACTGCCTGCTTACACACCCACTCTAACCCACCCCACCCCACTCCACCCCACCCCACCCCACCCTAGCCCACCGCACCATCCCTCACCGCGATGAGTGCAGCCTGCACACGCGCAGCCAGCGCCTGGCGGAGAGGAATGTCCTCCACTCGTGAGGGCCAGCCAAAGGTGAGCTCCGCCAGCACACTGTCTGTGAGGAAGTAGCTGGGGGAGAAGAGGGAATGGGCATGCGGGGATGGGGGAAGGGCGGGGGAAGGCAGCAAGACGGCAGCTCACTCCTGCCTGCACCCGAGAGGGCCAGCCGAATGTGAGCTCTGCCAACACACTATCCGTGAGGAAGTAGCTGGTGAGGTGGGGGGGGGGAAGGGGTAAGGGCATGTGAGGATGGAGGGAGGTTAGGGGAAGGCAGCACGAGGGCAGCTCGCGGCTCACTTGTGAAGGCCAGCAGAATGTGAGCTCTGCTCTGCCAGCACACCGTCTGTGAGGAAAGTAGCTGGGGGGGAGGATGCGGTGATATGGGGAGGGGGAGATGCGGGGGATGGGGCGGGTAGTGGGGGATGAGGGAAGGGGGATAGTTTTGGGGTTAATGAGAGAGAGGGGCAGCTGGGGAGCAGGGGGGAGAGAGGGCGAGTGTGATGGAGGAAGGAGAGAGATGGAGTGGCGAAACGAAAGTGGGGTGGGGGGAGAGGGGAAGAGTAATGACGGGGAAAGAACAGAGAGGGAGGGGCAGCGGAAGGGGGCAGCAGAAGAAGCATGACAAGGGGGAAACGCCCATCTAAGGGGCGAAGGGGCAAGGGGAGGGACTCACCGTTCAGGGAACTGAAAGACAATGCCGACCCTCTCAGAGAGCTCAGCGCGTGAGAGAGGGATGAGGGCGGGCGAAGGCGGGGAGATTGAGGCGGGCGAGGAGGAGGCAGAAAGGGATGGTGGGGAAGGTGCCGGCATGGCTATGGTGCCCTGAGTGGGGGTGGTGAGACCTGATAGGAGCTGATGGGGTGGGGGAGGGAGGTGGCATGGGGGAGGGGAGGAAGAGAACGAGGGGGTAGATGGTGAGAGGAAGCGAGGGGAAGGTGTCGGCATGGCTATGGTGCCCTGAGTGGGGGTGGTGAGACCTGATAGGAGCTGATAGGGAGGAGGGGGGGAGGGGAGGGACAGGTGGCAGGAGGGGGAGAGGAAGAGGACGAGTTTTGACACGCTCCACACTTAGTACCGCTATGGTGCAGTGGGTGGTGGTGGGGCCCCATCGCCTTTCATAAATTCTTCCCGATGGCCCCACCACCACCCACTGCACCTAGGTCCGCTATGGTGCTGTGCAGTGGGTGGCTTTTGAGTCGACTCAAAAGTCACCCACTGCACCTAGTACCGCTATGGTGCTGTGCAGTGGGTGGGTGGGTGGTTATGGTGAGGCCCGGGATGAGCTGATGGGGAAGAGGGAACATGCATGGGACGGTTATCCCCCCAATCACCTCATCTCAGGCCTCACCTTAACCACCCACCCATAACCATCCTATGCATGGAATGGCTGAGAACGAGGCCGTGAATTGGGAAGAACTTATGATTGAAACAGTCAGGTACGAAGGAAAAAAAAAAAAAAAAAAAAACGCAGTGAATGCAATGTCATGTGGAAGGGGGAGGGGGGAGAGGGGGGAGGGGGGGGGGGGGGGGGGGGGGAGGGGGGGTGTGCGTGCGTTGCACCGTGCTGGATGAGGATTTGAGGCGCCTTGAAAGACGCTGCAATGTGCAGTGTGCTGGGTGGCGGTGGGTTGACAGGCGAGTAATGTGGCAGTGGTGCTGGGAGTACTGATTACGAACAGTGTGGCAGCATGGCAGCAGGCGTACCTGCAGGAGAGTAGTCTTGCCGCCCCCACTGCGGCCGAAGATGAGCCCTAGGCTGTCGTGCAGGGTCGGGTTGCCGGGGCGGGTGGCAGGGTCGGGTGGCAGGGTCGGGTGGCAGGGTCGGGTGGCAGGGTCGGGTGGCAGGGTCGGAATGGCAGAGGGGGAGAAGTTGATTGATGCAGGCAAGGCATGCGAGAGGCATGGGAGAGGCATGGGAGAAGAGAAGCACGAGAAACGAGAAGCAGGCGAGAAGCATGGAAGAGACGGGCAACCATTCACCCCTACCATAGCAGCTGGTGCCACGGAAAGCGTTCCTGCTGCACATGGCATGGGGGAGAGCCGGGAGAACGGGGTGGGTGGGGAGAAGCGGGAAGGGCGGGAAGGGAGGGGAGGGCGGCGAGGACCGGGGAGGACCGGGGAGGGCGGGGAGGAGAAGCGGGGAGGAGAAGCGGGAGGAGGAGCGGGGAGGAGAAGCGGGGAGGAGAAGCGGGGAGGAGAAGCGGGGAGGAGAAGCGGGGAGGAGAAGCGGGGAGGAGAAGCGGGGAGGAGAAGAGGGGAGGAGGGGGGAAGGAGCGGGGAGAGCTGAGGGAGAGAGAGAGACCTGTTCTTAGGAAGCGAGAGCGACACGTCAGTGAGCAGCCAGCTGTCAGACCCGTGCGGCTGGAAGCTCACGCGCCGCACCTCCAGCACGGTCTCCTCCGCCGCCCTCCCCGCCGCTGCGCCTTCCGCCACTGCGCCCCCCACGGCCCGCGCCTTCCCCTCGCCTGCCCCGCCTCCTTCTCTCCGCCTCCCTTGCGCCAGTCCCCCGCCTCCTCGTCTTCTTACACCTTCCCCTCCCCGTCTCCCTCCCCCGTCCCCGCCCCATCTGCCTCCCCCTTCACCTCCCCATATCCGCCATCCGCGCGCGCTTGCGGGCTCCGCGGCAACTCTGGCGGCGAATGGGGAGGCGCGACTACTCGCATTGCCAGCCGCCCCGCAACGGACGGCCAATCGCTCTCTTCCGCGTGACGAATCGAACGGTCGTGAGCGGCCAGACGAAATGTTGTGTGCGTTTGCGAAACGGTTTCCGTTCTGCTGTAAACGTGCGGAGGCGGCGGCGGCGGCGGCGGAGGCGGAAATCGTCCTCTGGGATGAGCAACACTGTGAGTCTGTGACTGGCGGTGACGCGGGGACCGAAAACGAAGCAGTGAGACCGTGCGAATCCGCGATATGTGATGCCGCGATACAAGATGCTGCTGTGCTCGCTGGTGAATGCGACGAGCGACTGGATCTCGGAAAACGTCGCGTCGCAAGTGATTGTTGCGACGGTGGCGCCAATGCCGGCGGTGGCGGTGGTGAGATGCAT